AATCCCACATTTTTGATGGTTGATTGTTTCTCATATTTCTTAGAGAACTCAACTCATGACTATGAAATGAAGTCATTTTGATTCGTAGTAACCCTACAGGACAGAGTAGAACTGCCCATGAGTTTCCAAGACCGTGACTCTTTACAGAAGTAGAGAAAGTCTCATCTTTCTCCCTAGGAAAGGCTGGTGATTTTTAATTACTAACCTTGCAGTTAGCCCAGCGCATAATAAAAGAAATATACTGACCTGATTCCACCATTCACAACTATTAAAAATTACCTAGAGATGTCTGGGAATTAGATAAGTAGTCCCTCTCCAACTTTTTATGTTCCACTGAGGTTTACCAATTGCTTCCCTAGGAAGCCATCAATTATAAGTGTAAAATAGGGTTTTAGTTTAGAGGAGTCCTCTTGATGCAAGGCTTATGCATTCAGGAACTAACTGGCAGGTTGCTGGTTCAAACCCAATAGCAACCCCATGGGAGAAAAGGGCTGGTGATCTGCATCTGTAAAGATCACAGCCTGGGAAACCCTTAGGCACTTCTCCTGTGGGCACACCATGAGTCTGAATGACTCTGTGGCAATGCATTTTTTTCATTTGGGCATAGAGTATTGGGACTGGGTTTAGCTTAGAAGGTAATGTAGTTGCAACTTCTCTTTGCCAGGAAATACTGATCAGGGAGCCCTGGCGATGCTGTTAGACAAGCCATTGGACTACAAGGTTGTGATTCAAACCTACTAGCTGCTCCATGAGAGAAAGATGAGGCTCTTTGCTCCTATAAAGGTTTACAGCCTCAAAAAGCCTACATGGGGTCACTATGAATTGTAGTTGACTAGATGGCAGTGTGGTTGGGGTTTATTGTTCCAGCATCCAAAACCAGTTTTACTGACTGCCTTTCCTCACAGTTGGAATACTGAAAGTGGTACCAGTGGAGTTACCAGGTAATGAATCCAGTTCACAGATTTAAGAATTCAACTTTTTTTATAGTTCTTTTTTAAGAGTAAATTTTATTTTGTTTTTTATATATTCTTAAAACAGTAGCAAATCAAATTTTTAGAAAACTCTATAGTGGTAAATATATATACCAAATATACTCAGGAATAAGCCAAGTTTTTCAGCACATTTTTAATGTAGTTTTTGTGATAAAATTAGGTGCCTTAGCTGATAACCGGGTCAGCTTATACTTGAGTATATACGGTAATATAAACTTTGTTGTATTAACCATTAATAAACTCCGTGTGAATTGGGTGAAAGTTTACAGAGCAGATCATCAGTTTCACCTTCAGTAATTCATACATATTTTGTTTCATTTCATTCACTGCAATCCTCTCAATGAAAATCTCATTCACAGCCATCCTCTCAATGAAGAATCACTTATGCACTTCCTGCTTGTTTCCTGTTTCCATTCTTTTTTGCTTTCTAACACTGCTGAACTTTGTCTTAGGTAAATACTGTCACTCGGTCTCAAATAGTTGATTATTCTAAGGTGTGCATGTATCACTAGTACTGTTGTTCCCCTCATACATCTGTGTATTGTTCCAGGCCTGGAGCATAACTAAGGGCCACAACCTTGGGGGGGTTATACCAGTCCCTGACTGACCAGTATGCCTGGTCTCATTTGTGATTTTGAGTTTTGTTCCACCTTTGCCTCCAAACCTAACCAGGTGCGTCTAATGTAATCCCTTTTAGAGCACTTGGTAGTTTTAGCCAGGCACCATCTAGTTTTTCTGGTCTCAGGGTTGTGGACGCTGAGGTTCTCATAGTCCAGTAGCCCATTGGACTCATTGTTTCCATATAGCTTTGATGTCTTTTCTTCTTTAAAAAAAAAAAATTTTATTGGAGGCTCATACAACTCTTATCACAATCCATACATACATCAATTGTGTAAAGCACATTTGTACATTCCTTGCCCTCATCATTCTCAAAACATTTGCTCTCCACTGAAGCCCCGGATTTCAGCTCCTCACTTTTTCCCCTCCCTCCCCACTCCCCACTCCCTCATAAATCCTTGATAATTTATAAATTATTATTGTGTCATATCTTACACTGTTTGACATCTCCCTTAATCCACGTTTCTGTTGTACATCCCCCAGAGAGGAGGTTATATGTAAATCTCTGTAATTATTTCCCTCTTTCTACCCCACCGTCCTTCCGCCCTCCCAGTATCACCACTCTCACCACTGGTCCTGAAGGGATTATGTGTCCAGGATTCCCTGTGTTTCCAGTTACTCTCTGTACGAGCGTATATCCTCTACTCTAGCCGGATTTGTAAGATAGAATTTGGATCATGATAGTGGGGG